TGCAGCTGGATTTGCCCCGGACTGACATACATCAGAATGTCTTTAAGAAGGGGGGACCGTGAAAATATTTGCCGCCCCCCCCCCCGTTCCCAAAGATGGAAAAAGCAGGTTGGAGGGATTGGAAACCGTCGGGGAGACTTGGATGGAGAGCGAGTGAGACTCCTCGTTCCCTGGGCGAGCGGCTGGTGCTCTGAGGCATCCCCCCGGGAGCGGAGCACGCGCCCCGTGCGTGTGCGCGTGTGTGTGTGTGCGCGCAGGGAGGGAACCCGAGTGAGAGGGGCCGCTATTGTTGCGCCTCTTTCAATGGAGCAACAGAAGAGAAAGGCTGGGTGGGTTTGACGGGCTTGGGGCTCAGGCTTTTCTGCATTCCGAAGTGTCTAGGGGCGAGCGACGTGCGAGTGCTAGCGAGATGCGAACTTGAGTCTCACGCATGCAGTGGCGGATAGGGAGCGTGAATATCCGTTTTCAGAACATGCAGTATACAGGTAGGTACCTTTTTTTTTTTTCAAATCATGTGTAGTTTTTTTTTTTTAAAACCGGTCTCCAGCATTATTCAGGGATTAATATTGAATTCACGAACGTTTCCCCCTTGAAGGTAAATGACTTGCGGCGCTTTTGGTTATGAAAGTGATGAGGAGGATTGAATCCCAGTTTTTCACGTGTTGGTGAATGCGCGATGAAACTAGAAACTTTTTTTAAGAGCACGTTTTTTTTTTTAATTTTGCCTGCAGCGTAAAACTGCGAAAAGTATTGTAGTACATGTCATTTACTGTATTTTACGTACTGCACATGGAACTGCACTGTTAACCCTCAGCACTCCATACAGACGTTAACATTGATTATATCTTATATCCATCTGTCGTATAACTGTTTTAGGAGGAAATTGTTTGGTTAAGCTATTGATTGACGTATTCAATTAATGTAATGGACCACTGTACTTACTATTGAACTGCACTTCATCCGTACTTGTTGAAGTGACCCAACTTCAATCTGTAGAAAGCCTGGCGAAGAAGTGCCTGGTCCCATCGCCTTCTTATGTGGCTGGGTTTTGAAGTTATGGGCTTTTGGAGCTTTTCCTTTTACGTTTATTTTCGCTTCCTGTCAAAAATGCAATTCGCCGTTAAAAATAGTTTTATTTAACGTTTGCTTCAAAATGTGGAAGGAAAAAATGACTTGCTTGGGAATAACGCTGATGTAGAATTGAAACACTTGTCATTATTCATTGTATCGGACTGTTTCAGCGTTTGTATTGGAGTGTTTGAAGCTACTTTTGTTCTGCTAAAAAAAATCGATAAACTTAAAAAAAAAACATGTTCTTTCCCTTACGTTTCCTGAAGAGGGTTCAAAGGTTGATTTGAGGGCTAAAACACAGGAGGCACCGAATGCATGGTATTCCCATAACCAGCATTATTCTCCGCATCTAGGTTTCACACAGCTCTTTTTAAGAAGCGTGATCTAAGGAAAGCTCGCTGTGTTCTCCGGGAATGATGGACGTCTGTGTTTCCGGTTCCCCGCTACTGCTGCCTTTCACCAGTGGCCATGCTGAGGGAATCCGCATTAAGCACTTGCCACCGACACAGCTGGTTGCAGCGGTCTTTTCCCTCTCCCCCATGCTTAACCCATTTTGGAAAATCCTCCGACACTGCCAGGTGGTGATCTGTTATGAGACGTGTATGCGGATATTATGCGGGACCACATGACCTGGTTCAGTTGTCACACACCAGCTGTCACTTCTGAAGAGCGTCATATCTCCCCTTGAACATTATTAAAATAAAAACTCAAGTACATTTTCGGTTTCGCTCGCAAATGAATTAGGATTTCTTTTTTTTAATTCGGGGAAATAGAAACTGCCATTCATCTGCCACACTGTTCTGATGATGAATTTTAATTTATGGTAGAAAACATGTTCTACATCTGTGATTATTTGAGGATTTGTGGACGAATTGTACTTTTTTTTTGCGTGGTACTTTGTGTTTTCAGAGTTTGTCTGGATTTACAAAAAAAAAACACGACAGGATGTAAGGGTTTTCAGTTTCATCACATTGTGACACAGGCACATTGTGCAGGACCCACATTGTGCTGTAAACAAGTGAGTGGAGAATAGCACATTTTAAGATAGATTGTGATTCTTGCGTGTTTACTGTAATGAGTAAAACGCAGAGCAAACCACCCCTGTGTGCTGATCTCCTTCGTTGTCACAAACTTTGTCTGGAGTTTACAGCTCTTGTCAGAGTCAAGAGAAAAGAGTAACAGGTGCACCAAAAATGCCTCTGAGGGCAGCTATCAAATAGTGTTACAGTGTGGGTCTTGGGGCCTAACATACGTTTGATGCTGCCTCTAGTTTGTGTGTACTTCTGTGAAGAGAGCTATTTATAAAACAGATGATAAAACTTAGGTTGACATTGTTGGATCAGCTCCCCCAAGATATACTGAATGCTATTTTAATTGAACATTATTCAATTCATTGTATTTTATTATTACTTATCAGTTTGATTGGGTGGAAGACAACAGGAGTGAGCCAGCTTTATCACGTTAATCGTGTTTGTGTCCTATTTATTGATCTTCATTTAAAGATTGTGGCTTATAATATCACATCTTATAGAGATGAGAAGGCATTATAAATATGTGTCCCTCATACTTTAACCAGCTGTCAAAATGTAGCGGTAACCCAATAGTAATAACTTGTCATTTTAATTTAGAATGTCTCCTCCAAATGAATGAGTTTGTTTGAGAAATCACTCTTTAAATTAAATGGCAAATGATAGTTTTTCTTTGGGAGATTTTTAAATTATTTTTAGACCAGGAGACAAGAGTGGAGGTGATGCAAGCCGGTGAGTAATTCCAGGAGTGGAGCAGAAATGACAAACAGGTTTGAGGACGAACAGTGCCTGGAGTTACAGGTTACCTCAGCGACTTCGCTTTGGCTAAAACAGGTTCTGTCTGAATTCCCTAAATAGCTTTTGGTACCTGGTTTATCACCTGAGGAGAGGAGTAGAATGTAAACATTCCTTCTTGTCAGTTGACAGTGTTGGGCTGAGGTAGTGAGTGCCCTGGGGTATAGGTGTAGACGTTACAGTAAAATGCAAGCTGCAATAAATGTGAATGAAACAAGATGCTGATGACCCGATACACATGGCCACATCAATCATCTTGGTGTCAGGTTTTGAGAGTCTTCAGTGTTCATGAAATAGAGTACAGGTACAGATCATTTTTGCTACAGCATAGTAAATGCATAGGAGACTAGTTTGCTTTCTTAGCCATAATTAAAAAAAAACTCACATATAATAGATGCAGCTGGTGCACAGGCAGGTAAGTTATCATACGTCTCCCTGTGTTCTTCAGTTATTAGAAGCTTTTAAAAAATACGAAGTGACTTTGACGATAAACTTTTGGCAAGCGCATTCAGTAGGTATAATACACAGTGCATACTGTGGAGTTACTGTGGTCTTTTCGTTGTTTGTTATGAAAGACTAAGTGATGTGGTGGTGGAATTGAATGGGAAGACATGGTGAAACTGTGGATTTGAAAACTGTCGTCTCGCTTGATTACATTGGTGCTCCCCAAAAAATAGTCCTTAAACAGAAGACTGAAACATTTCGCATCCTTTACGTGCAAATGGTTTACAGGTGCAGGACAAAAAAGTGTTGTAATACACTGTAAGTGCGCCCCACAGGCCATAGCAAAATATATACATTAATATGTAATGGAGACTTGTTTATTCTGTTGAGAGCCAAAAACCCAGGCCCTTTGTTTCGTTGTACAATGGGCTGTTCCTTCAGCATGGCCAGCAAAGTAAGGTTCTGTGCTGGCTGGTCCTGATTTAAGGGTAATTGAAACGTCAGATTAACGGTTTCGTAATCCTGTTACAAATGCTCCCTAGCACAGCGCTGGCAATTTCTGTTGTTTCTGTAGAAGCGGCTGGTGCTGGAAATGGTTTCTGCTGGGTTAGCAGGAGGGTGTAGAGTAGCTTTGCATTTTGCTCTCCTTCTGAACTGCCTGTAGATTTTGATTTTTGTAGACTAAAGTATGTTATTCTTGTGTTGTTTTGTGTGGCAACCAGAAAATCAAGTAGTGTTTGAGCTGAAAGGAATTCGTCGTCTTAGTTGTGTGATGTGCTACTTATCTATTTTTCTTCTCAGATTTGCATGTCTGATATTACAAATGAAAAGTTGTGGGGGTCTTGTTTTACTTTTGCCGTTCAGCAGTGTTTGATTTCTGCCTGGCTTCAAATTTGTAAGCTCTAAAGTGTTTGTGGAATAGTGTTGGTTCCATTTAGAAGCAGGGTATCCTCAGTGTCTGCTGATTCCTTCTTGATGGTTTGCTATGACACCAGTTAAGGATTTTTTGTTTGGGCACTCCCACTCTTAACCAGTTATTACAACATTGATTTTGTTTTGCTGTTTCTTTGATTTAAAATGGCAAATCATTTTGTTGAGGACAGCAGTGAGGTAATTTTGGACAGACCTCAAAACACACCGTTTGCCCTTGTAATGATCTGACAGAGGGGGAAACTAGTTTGATTATAAGTGCTTAAGACAAAGTGTGAGGTTCAGAAGCTCTGCATTATCACTGCATGACCTCTTTAAATTCAATCGACTTGTAATTTTACTGATAGCTCCTTATTTTTGCCAGCTGCAGTTTGGCAGAGGAACGAGCTACCAGAAATAGAAGCAGAGTCTAGTCTCAAATTAATCCAGTGCAGATGAAGGGTAGAATGGAAGAACAATTAACTGGGTTTTTCATGTCAGTAGACGCATGGTTCGTGCTCAAAATAAGGTTCAAAATGATTTCGGATAGGAGTCATCTGACAATTGTCTCATATGAAGGGGATGTTGAATTGTCTGCTCTCACAGATGTCTGTCTGCAGCAGACTTGAGCCAGGTCAATATTAAATTTCCATTCTTACAAACGAATGCCGAGTCAATGGATGCATTTTTTTAATTCAATTAAATGACATGCTTTGAGGTATATCTATGTAGTATTTCTACATGAACTATTTCATGTAGTATGTCTGCATGAAATACCCATTTATGTTACAGAGTAGGTGTTTTAGTTATACGATATACTATAACAAAGATAAAGTTCAGCTGTGATAGCCTGTGTGTTTATTTTTTATTTTTTAATTTTCAGCCCTAAGGGTATAGGCAAGTTGATATATTCATCATTCATCAGCTGTAACGTGTCATTCAATTGCTGTACTTAAAATCTTACAATCAGCTGTTAGTAAGAAATATGACTGGTGTAGATACATAGTACTGTAATTTTAGTAAGCAAAATATTGATTGGGGTAAAATATAGAAAAACATTCTAGTTTTATATGTATATAATTCAAACAAGCATACCTGTATGATCAAAGTGAGATCTGGCTAATTTCTTAAGGAACCTATTGTATACTGAGTCATTGAGTTTCAGATTTCCTTACTTTTCAGAACTATGATCTGTATTCCTACTGTATAGACCCTGTACTTTAAAGATTCCATGTGGGCAAGGAGGTTCCCTCTGTTGCTGGGAATTCAGTAAAAAAAATAATATTTTTTTTCCCTTCAGCTCCAGAAAAATAAGTTAGTTAAGGACTTAGTTTATGTGTTAAATAACAGTCTGTCATGGTGGAAAATGGCTCCAACCACAATTTATGGTGAAAGTGGTTGTAACCCCACCACATGTTAAACTCTTTCTTGGGTCAGGGTATCAGGTTAAGACAAATATGAAGATGGTCATTTGCTTGCCAGTGTCAATGATTAATATTGAAGTGTAATTCTTAGTTTCCCCTTATTAATGTCTTAACTATGCTTAAATACGATCACTGATTAAAGCAAAATGGGCAAACCATGCTAATTTAATACATCAAAAACATTTTAATGTTCCAAAGCAAGGTTAATCAGTAATTGGAATTAATCCCATATATTCCTAATGCAAATCTGAAAGCATTGCTGCTGACCTAGGAGCAGACGTGCGGAGCCAAGACTTTCTGCAGCAAGTTGTGAATCTTTTGGCACTCAGAATGCTTCCTTAGGGGAAAAAAACTGTTGGTTTGTTAAAAAAAAAACTCTTCAAAATCTCTTTTAAATACGTGGGTGTTTGGGGAGAGAGGAGCGAGCACCAAGCTCTTCATTTTAATGACAAATTCCTAATCTCATTCTCAAATGTTTTTTTTTTTTATTCCTCAATCTTGTTGTGCCCTCTGAGGTACAGTATGGGCACACAAGAAACATTAAAACTATTTGTAATGCACGGGTTTGTGTGGAGGTTACCATATCCAAAATCTATATTCCACTTTATTGCTCCAGTTACCATATCACAATCTCATCTTTGTCTATAGATTTTGAAATGAAGCCTCTATTATCCCATTAAAAGTCACCCTGAGACTTTAACATTTGAAACAGCCCATGTCAGCATTTTATTGGCTTTCTCAATGATTAAATCTTTGACGAGATTATCTTGTTTTCACCTCAGGCCTCTCGTACATTAAAACCCTCTGAACATCATCGAGATGATATCCGATATTAAGCATTGATGGACCAGATTAATTATTTATGTAGAACAGTATAGTTGGCTTCAGGAAATCTGGCTTGGTTCCAGATTCTCTTTTGAGCTGGAAAAGAAGGTGAAAAGTCGTGACATTTCAACCAAAGTACAACAACAACAACACTGCGCCATGTGTCTACTTTACTCATCAAATGCAAACCATTGTTGTCATGAGAACCCTAAGGTCTGTCTGTAAGGAAGAAAGATTGAATCTGCAGCATTTATCGTGTTCTGTACTGAACGTCACAGATTTATGAAAGCT